TTTTTTATTTATAATCCACATTTTAAGCCTGAAAATTACTTAAACCCCCCAAAACATTATATATTTTCTGAAAGCAAAGACCCTGTAGAATAAAATGATGGCAAATGAAAAACGGGTAAATAGAGACCCAACATGCCCAAGTAAAAAATTGCGTACATCCGCGAAACGATGACAAAATATGGTACCCCAAATTGTCCATAAGCGACGCTTTAAAAGCCCAAACAGGTCATCAGTTTACAGATATACTTGAATATTGGCCCTATAATTATTGGTCTCACTCTGACATGCGTGGCGATACCCAACATGTGTGGCACGATCGTTGTAATGCACATATATTAACGGGGGCTCTATAGCCACTGGGAGTCTATTTAAAGGGGCCCTTTGCTACCGCCGTACGACATACAACGGTGGCAGTGAAAGGGTTAATAGTCCACATATCTGGGGGCGTGTCCATTGCCTCCCTAATCTCAGAAATTTGGGGGGGTATGCTCCAAGAGTGCAGTTACAATCTAAGTTAAACAGACTTTCATTTAGGGCTCTTTTGAAAGAACAACCCTCGACCTGCTGACACTCACCTTTGCTTCACTCCCCCCATTGATTAATTGGTCTATAGGGCCCGGTGTGCCCAGGTATGGAGGAGCATGTGACATACACACAGAATGCAGTGCTCTGACTTAACTGGCCAATTGAAAGGCCTATACACTGTTATGTGAGGGTGAGGAGGAAACAAAATACATACATATATACCTCTTACAAAGAGTTTTGACTCCAACAGAAAAATGAAAGAACAGGAGAGCAAGAGGAATTAGTTTATTTTATAAGACACTGTCATTTTTTCCAGAATGAGCAAAGTGGCGGAATCTCTTTTTGTAGTGCTAGGAAGAAATAAATATTTTTCAATAGGAAATCCAGATATCAGTAATATTTCAGATATTTATAGCATGGTCAATGAACATTCACCAGCACTGATCTGTTTTTTAAAGGGGAAATTATTGTTTCTGTAAGTGATTCTTTTTTGATCTCTATGAAGATACACTGCTCTTGATCCCTCCTTATCCATATTTTCTGCACATTTGCTGCACTGCACATGAGAATGTTAGCCTAAAATCCCAATGTGCATACAGAGGTCCTCTCCTTTCCACCCACTATTATACTATTATGTAAACTTTATAAATGCCTTGAAAATGGAGGCCAAATGTTGACATTTGTAGGCACATAATAGAAAGAAAATCTGGGAACATTTAACACTTTCTAATAACATGCCCCATAATCTTTGAAATGTATTTAAACAATGGTTCTGAAAATCTTAAAAGGGATTCTCCCAAATGGATGTCACAATTTTGTAGAATGTCATTTATTTAGAAGTAAAGCAAACTTATACTGAGGAGAAAGCTAGATGTCATGCTGACCCAAAGGATATGGCACTTTCTGACCAAATGACCTAGATGTATGCAGAATAGGGGCTCGTATTTTACTCAATGTTTGCATATTTTTTGGGAGTCAGTGACCCAGAAAGTATTGAAGCCATAGACAGCCAGGCGATTAATATTTTCACAAGGACAAGTTTCCTTTAAAGGGAATATATCATCAAAAAACCTCCATGACCTTTTGCCTTCTGAAGAAGAGACTATAAATCTATTCACTGAGTTATTACCCTTTAAACTAGTGTGCAGCACAGGCTTCAGAGAATTGTTTCTGTTGCAGCCTAATCTCACAGGTGTTTTTTATTTCACTACAGCCTCTCCTTTAAGGCTTGGGGTACACATGACATTTTATTTAACCCTTTGTTAGTGAGATTTTTACTCAAGAGTTTAGCTGAAATGAATTATTCAAGATGTTGAGGTTATTAAGTTTAATTCATAATGCAAAAACCTATAGGCAAAGTACATCAGAGCTTAACAGGTAATCAGCCATCTTTCATTGTTTTGACATCTCTAAATAACTGAAATCTGATGGGTATGCATTGTGCACATTGTCATTGCTCTCTACAACTTGGATGGGTAATAAAATATTCACTGGGGGGAATTTATCAAAACTGGAGCAGAAGAAGAATCTGGAGCTGTTGCCTATGGCAACCAATCAGCTTCTCTCTTCAGTTTGTTCAGTTAAAGGAGAACTATGAGGTGAGTGCTTTTCACTCACCTCATAGTTCTAGCCGACCTGTGAGAATGAGACTGTCACAGGTCGGCTTAGTAGATCGGGAGGTAAGCGAACACATACCGGCGTTCGCTCACCTCTCGATCCTGTCACGGCTTTCTGCCGCGACAGGGGAGGGGCTGGATTCCCCCCTCCCCGCTCCGATAGCGCTGACTGGCGGAACGGACGGGGAAGGGGGCGGGTACAGCTGGCTCTGCCTCTAGATAGGCAGAGCCAGCTGTCACTCACGCAGCTGGGCTGATCCAGACACAATTGTCGGGATACGCTTCAGCTGCGGCGTTTCAGCTGCGGCGTCTCAGCTACTGCTCGCGGTATACTGAGCCTAGGGTGACGGGAGGACGCTAGTTTGTGTCCTCCCGTTACCCTAAGGAGAACTATGGGGAAAAGCCTTAACCCCATAGTTCTCCTTTTAAGGTTTGAAAATGAAAAGGTGGATGCTAAATGGTTGCCATGCACTGCTGCTCCATATTTTGTCTGCTCCATTTTTGATGAATTCACCTCAATGCATATTAGTCCACTATATGAAGAACACACAGTCTACAGTATATTTGTATGCCACACACTAATTTTTCAATCTAATCAATGCATATATTATTCAACATGGTTCTCTTCAGCCCCTGCCAACTCCTAAGCAGGGGGTGACTAACTATTGGAAAGACCGTACTCAGAATCATTTTACTCAATCGATTCTCCAGGTTGTAATGGAAAGAGAACTGTGTCCCTGAGAAACAGGAAGTCTCCCCACAGGAGAATCAAGATTGAGGAGATGTGATAATGAGATAGCATAGTGAGCTTGCTGGAGGGGGGCCAGAAATGGGATGTGGAATTCATTATTGATTAATGCATAATTTACAGATGTTATCAGTTAATGATAAGAGATAATCTGATACAGCTAACAAACAAGTGCCAATTCTTCAGCTGTAAATTGTAGATTGTATTTATTAATAGTCAAAGTGCAGCAAATCGTCACAATCAAGTAGAATCCATCTCTAATCTATATCATGTTAATCTGATTTAGAAAAAATTATTTGGGTTAGTATGTGTATAATCACTTTTCCTGTTAAATAAACCCCTGCAAGTAGTTTATAATTATTTTATCCTAACAGAGTCAGATACATTTTATTGCCTATGCTTATTGCCTATGTTTAAAATAAGAAATTAATTTGAATATTACCATTGTATTATTTAGAGTATACTTGAAACATGCAAAATGTGCAATCAGGCCCATCTTTGTAACTACTTAACATGCCACCAATAAGGTCTATTTATGAAGCAGTGAATGCTACTTTCATTAAACATTCTCTGGGGGAGAATTCATCACTGGCAATTAAAACACATGGGCCTGGAGGATACTCCATTAGAGAATGTTTGGTGAAAGTCATGTTTATAGCTTTATAAACTGACCAATGTGAATGATTTACGAGTCTAACATCTTTGCCTCTATGATTGTAGTTATTGATGAGCAAATACATGTGTGAATTAGATACATCTGGCAAAACTCATCTTGTTCAATGGTTTGTGAATTTTCAGTTCACTTGAGTATATGCATGCAGGTTTTCCAACCTGTGGAGATTAGAATCATGCAATTCATAAATCCAGGCAATTAGAATGTATGAATTGCGTGATGCTCTGCATATTGCACACATTTTAATTTGTATATTTAGGCAAAATTAAAATGCATGCATTAACCAAATATGAGATGTGTAATATTTGCCTAATTCATAACTCCCTGAAAATATAAGATTGCACGGAGACTGGACTTGCTAGATTCCCCCTGTTCTCATTTTGCTAATCTATAGTTATATTATGTACTCATGCCACATTTTTGTCCTGTGCAAGTCACACTCTCTTTATATAACTATATTCCTTCAACATCCACAAACACTTAAAGAAAACTAAATTATTTTTGGGGTCTATGGCCTAGCCAGAAACATAAACATAGTACTCAAATAAATGTGCACATGATGCAGTTTTTGCTTTGTGTCTGAATGTTCATTGTGACAGACTTGGTTTATTACTTCTTACACAAATCATGGGATTGCCCATTACACAGGATCTATATAAAACATTTACAATATTTCCCCTTACCTTATTTCATCATACTTCAGCTAAAGTGACTATATTACTTCTAGTATGTTCTATCAAGTACAATGCTCGTTGGTCTCAGTTTACGCCTATTACGCCAATAGACAAGGAAAGAGAAGCAGGAAGACAGAGATAGAGGAAACAATTCAATTTCTCTATGTGAACCATGAGAGTGAATGGCTGCTGCTGCCACACTAACCTGCTGTAGTTTATTCAGCTCCTGTATTTGAGTATAATTTCATAGTAGAGTGCAGAATCCAAATCAATTTATATTTCACAGAAGGTTTTACATATGAAAGAACAAGCTGATCATAGTCTTAGCCCAAATGTACTTTTTTTTTATATTTGACATTATTTTGTAGTTGAACATTTGCAATAGTCTCGACTCTCCACTAACTCATTAGTCCCTTTGTATGATAAGCACGTTGGAATAAATTCAGATGTAGCCAATATTAAAGTGATGGAGATGAATCCATTAGACATTGTCATGTCTACACCCATTACTAGCATCTACCACTTATTCATCTCTCTCATCTATGTGTGTACGGCTGACAGCCACCTGAACGCCAGTATACATTGTCTGCGATTGATTGTTTTCACGAATGCACAATTCAGCTGTGTCATTACTATAACTTCTTCATGCAATGCATATAATTAAATCAAATCTCTGCAGAATTTCCACGCCACACAATTATAGCTCAGAGATGATCACTGGATCTGAATAACTAGTTGTGGACACACTCCTTATTTGTGCTCACCTCAATCTTTTCAATGCGATCTTTCAGCGTCCTCACTGCCTCCTCCAATTCCTGCACCGCTTGAGGAGAGTCAAGAGGCAGATCTCCCATGGCTCCTTCTTTCGGACCCCATCCATCCGTCCCCTCCTGATAGCCTTTATCCAGCCCGTTTTCACATCGGCTCAGCTTGCCGGTGAGCTCCCTTATGGCCTCTTGGTCGGTAAGGATCTGCTTCTTCTGCTGCAGCACGGTCTGTCTCAGCTGTTCTGCTGTGTTCTGCAAGACGAGCACCTCTTCTCCTTCAGGCTGGGAGGAATCTCTTTGCACATCAGAGGGGCACTCCATAGCCAGAGGGGTGCATATGAGTCTGCTGAAGCTTGGGGGAGATTGGCTCTTGGATCCGGAGAGCTCCAGAAAAGCATCTTTTGATCCATACAGCGTCTTGACACCATGGAGAGCTCCGAGGCTCTTCTCGTTAGGGGCGGCTGGAGCAGACTCATTTTCGCCACCAAGGGCAGGTCCCTTGGCCGCTGGGTGGACACTGGCTATAATGCATATGATGGCACCCAGGAATGCAAGCATTCCTGCCACCAGTAAAACGGCCAGAAACTTCAGGGTGACAGCTACTGTGGAACAATCTAGCTAAAAAAAGAGGCTTCCACCCCTGGAGTTAATAGAGTTGATTGGCTATAGAAAAAACCCTTATTGCCCAAGCTGCATTAAGCACGTCTATGAATGGAAAGAGCAACTAACAGATCAATTCCTACTCTCTAGTGCACAGCCGTTGCTTGGTCTCTGACTTAGGAAGGGAGGAGAGGGTTAGACGTCATTACTCCCTCCCCCTTTCATTTTTTTCCCTCTTGTGAGTTAGCACGGCTGATTTTAACCCCTAACTCTTCCATCCTCAAGTAAATAAGGCTTGATGGACAGGGAATGTGATATTCATAGAAAGACACGGTTAGGAATGACATGGCAAACACATACAGGAAAGTGTACGGCAAAACTGATGTATGCATCTTTCTAATTCATGCTTTAAACATAAAAGACACACACTATTCTATATAATACAAATATATTATTGATGATCTATTACAGTATTTCTCAGAAAGCACCAGCAGATGTTCAATGTTGATTAGATTCCCTTGACATTTGAAATGATAGATACCTTGGAATCCCAAATACTGTATTCAGATTATAAACCACTACTGAAGGTTTACACTAGTAGTTGTCTGCTACTTAAGTTACATATGTGTAAAGGTGGTTTCTCACCATTGTGTTACATTGATCGCACTATTCCGTGTGATTAACATACGCTACCGCACCGTGCACCTACTTTATATGTTATAATGCAAGAGGTGCATTGCCGCACGGCGCCCTTGTTGCCATGGCGCCCTGTGCGGCCGCACTGCTCGCACACCCCTAAGGCCGGCCCTGGGTGCATTGCACTGCCAATCATTTGAATGGCACCCCGAGTGCACCTCACGCTGCAGTGTGTCCGACTACACTGCAATGCACGGTACCGCAATATCGTGTGTTACATAGTTACATAGTTAGCCAGGTTGAAAAAAGACACAAGTCCATCAAGTTCAAGCTATAGAGATAACAGAAAGATTAAAAAAAAAAAAAACTACTACTTTTTTAGTCGCACTGTATCACAAAATACCACTATGCACCGCAATACGGTACCGTGCATTCGCACTGAACCACTAAGTGCGATTAGGCACTATGGTGTGAATCCCCCCTAAGTGTATTTATAGGTGTTTAAAAAACACATGCATGGTGAACAAATTCGAATTATTTCAGAGCTTGTGGCCTGCAGCTGCTAACACCGCTTTTGACCTAAAGGGACGCTTTTTGGATGCCATGGACGTTCTCAAGTTTCCAGGCAGAAAGAACCGCAAAAGTGCAGGCAGGCAGGCAGGGCACTGGACAAAGCTCTAGGGACAAAACTGAAGTGAAATGGTTTGACACAGTAATGTAATCATAGCTGATTACATTGTATTGTGTGTATTGTGTGTATATTGCATGTTTTCACTTTTGAATTTCCCGCCGGCTCTGCCCCCGTGACGCCGAAAACTAAACTAAGGGGTCTATTCACGAAGCAGCTGTTGATGGAATCTCAGCATATATCGAAATGCGGCAATGGTATATTTGAAAAGATTAACAAATGCTTTATTCGTGCACGGGAAACTCAAAACAGACCATGAAGAGTTTGGGACTTTCCCTCACTCAGTCTTGTAAGAGTCTCAACCCCCCTCTTCCTGTCTAGATATTTTATACAGTTTCTTAGTACATCCTGTGTTGAGTCACTTCAGTCATGAGGCGAGGAGGATTTCCTTAATGCTGTTTTTCCGTGTACGTCTGCTCAATGAGTATGCAGGAAGCCTGTAACTTCGTAGTTAAGCTGATCTTGCAGTTTTGAAAGCTTGGTTCCACTCGAGAAAGCACACACATTAGTATTGTACAATTTTAAACATATTAATTGATTCACTTCAGCAAATATGAATTTCACACAGCCGAAGGATCTAGCCGTAGCTTCGGCCGATCCTTTGGCTAGCTTCGGCCCCAGGACCCCTTCGGTTCAGTAGAACCGAAGGGCTGTTGTACGGGCTATTCACAATAGCCCGTACAGCTCCCGAACTTAGCCGAGTGGCTCAGTCGAGCCGAAGGCATATGCCTCTGCTGGGCTGAGCCGCGCTGAAAGCCGAAGCTGGCCGAGCGGCCGGCCGACAGTCTGCTTCTGACAGTTGGGCGAAGCCAGCCGTGATCTTACTGCTGGCTCTGGTCACTTGCAGAGAGATCAGCGTCCCTGGTTACCAGCTAACCAGGGACACTGATCTGCAAACAGCAAACTCTCCCGGGCGCTCCGGGAGTCTCCCGCTCCCGGCCGCCCAGGAGAGAAACACTGATTTTTCTTTCTTTATTCTGACACGGAACCGTGTCAGAATAGATTAAAAAAAAATATTTGCCCATAGGAATGCATTGCTAGATTCCTATTGGCTATTTCAAATTGCAATAGCCAATAGTAAGCTAGCATTGCACCCGCCCTCTGCTGATGGACCTGATGGAGAACTGCCGCAGAGGGCGGAATTATTATTTTTTCTATTCTGACACGGCTCCGTGTCAGAATAAAGAAAAAAAAAGGAAAATCAGTGTTTCTCTCCTGGGCGGCCGGGAGCGGGAGACTCCCAGAGCGCAAGGGTGAGGTTTTTTTTTTGTTGTTTCTTTTTACGGCAGCAGAATCGCCGGCCAATAGAAAACTATTGGGCGGAGCTAGCTGTCATTGCTAGCTCCGCCCAATCGTTTTCTATTTCTTTTTTTGGACTTTTTAAACTATTTTTCTGTTCTGCTCGGTCCCTGTGAGGGACCGAGCAGAACAGCCGAGCCAAATGCAGCTCAGCGGCATTCGGCTATTCACTCACTGCTGTTCGGCATCTATAAGAATAGACCGAACAGCAGCGAGTAGCCTGCCGAAGGTTCGGCTTAGCCGATCCAGATGTTGGATCAGCTGGGTCGAACTCCATCTGCACTTCTGGTTGGCCGAACATGCTGAGCATGTTCGGCCGACCCGAAGTCACCCGATGTACGGCTGATTTCAGCCGAAATACGGCTGAAATCAGCCGTACCAGCCTGAAGTGAATAGTCGAACAGCGTTCGGCTCACTTCACTTCAGGTCGGTCTATCACTCGGCTGCCTACGGCAGCTTAGTGAATAGACCCATATAAGTCGGATGCCGGCATCGGCCCGGCGTACACAGCAGACACCGTGGGCTAGTAGGGACAAGGTAAGTGACGCTGTTGTGTAATCCCATGCTATTATGTATTCTCCTGTGTTTTTGTATGTGGCTGCAACAACTTTAGTTGCTATTTTTTTATAATTCTTTACAAATTTTTTTTACTTTTACCTAAGCTTTTTTTTAAATATAGCATTTGGGGTTTAATGTTTTAGGGTTGGGATATGTAGATGAGTGTTTTGAGTTTGGTTTTTATTGTTTTAGAAATTTTTTGAATGAGGTATATTCCATTAAATATAACTTTGCTAGGGTCTTTTATTTTTTTATTATTTTTTTTTTTTGGGGGGGGGGATTTTACTGCACTAAATCACCCCGTTGTTAAATGCACCAAAGCACAACATCCTCAATCCCCCTATTGACATAGCAGCTGATAAAGTTAGGGAATCCCCTATATTCATCTTGTCTGGGAGGCCTAAAGGGAGAAAGTCTTCATACATAGGAAGTAGCTAGAGAGCAAGTTTTGCATCAGCAAGAAAAAGCGGTAGTAGAGTCATACCTTTGAGAAGCAAGGCACATCTGCTGAATTTGACTCATCAATAAATCATGATTACAGAAAATCAAACACATTAATATGTGATGTAATGACTCTGATGAGGCTACCCTTAAACACAAACAGGGTGCTCCTTAAGTGGGGGACCTCAGGTATGGAAGCTATGTATACCTTTAATCCCGGTGTTTTTTCAGCAAGACAATACAAAACAGCCAATGCAGTTCAGGGGTTCGAAGGTATCTCCCTTCTTCAGGGCCCAGATATTGCATAAACTTGGGACCGCTCAAAATGACAGAATCACCACAATTCATTGTTTGGAAGTTAAGAAAAGTGACAAAGTGCCCAGGAGCAAAATAGCAGCAGTCCAGTCAGCAATGTGAGTTCTGTCCTGACACAGGTAAAGCTGTCCATTGTTTGCAGTGCATTACTGCATATTACATAGTTACATAGTTACATAGTATTTGGGATTGAATAAAGACATACGTCCATCAAGTCCAACCCATATAGGTCCACGCATCATCTCATTCTTAGGGATACTGGTATCCCTGGATATTACGGTCCCTCAAGAAATTGTCCAAAAAGTTTCTTGAACAAATCTACACTCTTGGCTGAAATCACTGCCGGTGGCAGTGAGTTCCAGACCTTAACCGCTCTTACTGTAAAGAACCCCCTTCGCCCATTGTGCTGGAATATTTTCTCCACCAACTTTAGGTGGTGGCCTCTAGTCTTTGTAATGGAGTTAATCTTAAACAGTTTGTTGCCAATGTTGCTGTCACCATTGAACATCTTGTACATGAAAATCATATCCCCCCTTAATCTCCTTAATTCCAGCGTGAAGATGTTCAGTAGCCTTGTCTCATAGCTCTGGTCCTCCATTCCCCTAACTAGTTTGGTTGCCCTCCGCTGGACTCTCTCCAGTTCAAGCACATCCCTTCTCAGTACCGGCGACCAAAACTGGACTGCATACTCCAGATGTGGCCGAACCAACGATCTATATATACATCCCCTTCTTGATACAGGACCCTGCTAGCTTTGTTTACCGCAGCCTGGCACTGCAAGCTACCATTCGGTTTGCGGTCTACAATGACCCCCAAATCGTTTTCTATTTCTGACTTCTCTAGCGTCATACCCGTGATGGTATAGCCCATATGTTTATTTTTATGTCCAAAGTGCATTACTTTGCATTTATCGACATTATACTTCATCTGCCATAGTATTGCCCACTCCCCTATTTTATCCAGGTCCTCCTGTAATGTTATATTGTCACGATCCGTTTCTAGTACCCGCCCTATTTTTGTATCGTCTGCAAACACGGAAACATGGCTATTTATTCCCTCCCCGATATAATTAATGAATAGGTTGACCAGTATTGGACCCAGCACAGATCCTTGAGGCACACCGCTCATTACACTAGCCCAGTCTGAAAAGGTGCCATTTACAGATACTCTCTGGACACGTTCCCGTAGCCAGCTCTCTATCCACGTACACACCACCTCATCTATGCCC